GGGGAACTCGAAATGTCTGACAAACTTAAGAATTACCTACCGACAAAGGGAATAAATGTAAGGAGCCCAATTACTTTTCATGTGGGAGAAGGGGCATCTTTTCTTGTTACGCCATTGACCTCATCGTGCCCATCAATAGCACAGCGGCATGTCTGTGGTGGGCAGAGAACAGATACCTTATTGTGTAGCTTTGCACTTAACAACAAACAAACCTCGTCTTTCAAAGATGATCACGATTGTGTCACATAGTTTATGTTTGCCATCATATTTCACCTTCCTTGCATTAAAAGTAATTACACTAGGACCGAACAAGGTCAGAAAACGTCTGATGCCATCCTTAAGTTAAGTAATGACTCATCTTTATTGAAACGATGTTGTATCGAGCAAATAAAATCAACCAAAAACCAGAAACTCCAACACATTTTGATAACTATACCGAGATAATTTAGTCGATTATGAAGTGCCGCGTGTTTATCATAACCCTAGACATACCGGCACGGTCAATATTTCTTTTAAACAGAAATAACATCAATACTGTAACCAATGCCACTTATTTATGTTGGGTTACTCTATACATGTTACTTATAAAATAAGTGATTCACCCGTTTTCTGTTCATTTATTAACACTGAATGTTGTAACAGGGGAAATAACATGACGTAATTAGTGAAGTCAGGACGTGATATACAGTATAAAAACAAGCTGGTAAGTAAAAGGTTAAATTATAACATTATATTATATAAACAACCGTCAGGGACCAATTGTATCTTTGGTTTTAATTAACAACAATGATCTGTATTTTCTATGCGTCTACTGACTTTTGAAACTTTAATTAATTAAATCATATTTTAGTTATAATAAAACAAATGATACCCTTTACACGTACTTCCTTTACGTCTGCTCCAACTGTTGTGAAGATGTTTGTTTCTATAGTTCCAGGACTGTAAAATAGAAATAAGAACATTAATATGTTAAACATTGTTTACAAAATTTAAATTGTGATTTATAAATGCAGTAAGAGATAAATGTGAAGTCTTGTGTGTGGCCGCGAACCATGAAACCTCAGGTCAGTGATGGCAAGTATAAGAGGCTTGGGAAGGCTTAGCTTCCCCAAATAGGTGAAAAAAAAGATATATCTTCTATGACTGCCCAAACAGCACCTCCCCCCTTTAACAACTGTTGTGGATAAACAAATAGCCTCCCAAAATACAATGTTCCTTATGGAGCATAATTTTCTACATCTCAAAATATTATCAACTACAAGCAAAAATACTCGTCCCCAGTGATGGCAAAAGTTTAATTTGATCTATCAATTTAAATTATTTGATGTACTTTAAAAAGGTTGATTGTGTTGCAGTGTTGGTTTCACTCAGAGCCAAAGCTCTTAGCTACTTATACCACCCACCACGAAAAGTAATTGTTGAGCATTTCAATCATGTTAAGAATCACTCAACTATAACATACGGTAAATCTACGTTTTTATTGTTTAAGTTACGTCACATTTTCAAATGTAAATCATAGTGTGATTAATTCCTAACAACTTAGTGTAGTATATCCTGCTTGTGAAATAAAATTCGGCATCAACATTATTCATGCCTGTTCTCCCGCCATTTCAAAAGTGAATATTGAGGTTTTCCTGCGTGCGCAGCTTTTCAAACGGGAGACAGACGAACGCTGGGACAGACACCATTTGCAATTTATATCAAATATGTGACAGAATAGGCTACCGAAACAAAATATTCGCCACCTGTACCTCAAATTCACAGTCCGAGTATGATAAACGCTAAACTACGCCCAGTTTTAAATCAAACAAATTACAAATTAATATGTATCCGAAAGGCTTTTATAAATATAGTTTATACACAAATAAAAATACACTTACTTTACTGAATTCACTCTGACTTGTTTGGGAGCAAGATCTGGAAAAGACAATTCAACGCGTGATAAATATTTATTTTTTACGTTTACGTTTATTGGTGCTGTATATAACTTAATCACTTAGACAAAGGAATCTATAACATATGATGAAAATGAACAAATAAACAAAACATTGATTCAAAAATAACTCATAATTAATAAACAGTCCCAGCATAGTTTTTTTAATATGAAACATGTTTGATTCTCAAACTTTCGTACGTTTATTAATAAACTCACCTAATGCCACACTTCTGGTAAACTGATCAAAAGCTCCTTTAGACATGGTATAGGAAAATACTGTTGCACCCTAGAAAAATTCGTCGAAATATATTTATTATAAATTAGATCCATAATGTCAAATTCGGCTTATTGTCATAGTCAGAGAAAATAATGTCATGTTTCGTTTCCATAGACTTCAATAGAATTAAATACATCTGACCAAATCTTTGAATTAAGTTTTAACTACTCTAATTCTCTTGTAGGATTATGACTGAAAGTATCGCTAACAGTGAGTGTTCCAAATTATCTTATGACGAGAAACTCATGATAAGTAACACCACGATCGAAAGGGGTGAAGTAAATTATAGGATAAAAATTAACGTGACAATAAGAGGTGAAATGAAATATAGTACACTCGGAAACTTATAACACAAAATACCACTCTTTAACACATTTTAATTAAATTAAAAGCTACAATTTTTCACTTGGTTATTCAATTTTAGGGTACTTACTCCCCTTTTGCTGAGAACGCTCGAAACGTTGACAATGGAACCTTTACTTTCAATCAGGTGAGGGACAGCTAGCATCGTCAAGTGATAGACAGCTCTTTGAAAACATAAAAGAAAAATAATTAAACATCTTTAAAACTAACTATTATAGTAATAGATGGCGCCACTACAAAAACAAATCGACGATCGGTCGGACATCTCTACAGAATATTTATTGCCAAACTATTTTACAACGATCCTGGAAAGTTTCCAGTAAGGAAATTTGTAGATAATTTACAAATTACTAGAATCTCATCTTTAAATGTATTTTATTTATGAATTATTTCTATATTACTTGATATTTCATGTCCACTAATTCTACATTTTACCTATGTAATGAGTTATAATGTAACATACACATTGTTTAATTTTAAAGTAAGTAATATTCCAACATATAATCGTAACGAAATTTGTTCACAATAGACTAAAGGTTGAAACTTCCAGAAGCTAGCTTTACAATATTTTCCTTATCTATATATCTAATATATGTATAAAGTTCTCTCTGTTTGTTTGTTTGCATGCTTGTTTCTCCGTCGCATTCACTGCGCAGGTCACACTTCCCTCACGTGAAGGTGAAGGAAACGACATTTTTTCGTTGGTTACCATGCCTATCGTCTGCTAGCCGAACCCGTAAGTTGAGAATATGGCGTTATAAACCTATTTAGTTAAAGATCGTTAGCCAAAAATGTACTAATACAACCATACACTTAACCTCACACACAAAAGAAATGTATGCATAATCAAAATATCTTGTGTGAAAAAAGCAAACAGTAGGCCTAGCTTTTAAAATAAACTTATGCAGTCTGCCATCATATAGACTACGTAAAAAGAGTAAGGATTAAATTATAATACTTATTGTGTATAATGATATTAAAGTCAAGTCAGAGTAATTGGTACAGCGCTTGCATCAGATGTAAGATGGGTTGAACCTGGAAATTATATTTCATTACAATTATAATAGACAGGTCTATTTAGTTATAGATTATTATTTATACACCTACTGATACATCATATATGTAACCTCACACACAAAAGAAATGTATGCAGAATTAGAATATTATTTTATCTCCTACTCTGTCAGTTATGTCCTTCACCTGTGCCCCTGGGTAGCATAATCTGATTCTTTTCTCCCTATTTACCCCACAGACTATTCTTGTCAAGGAATCACCTCTAACTATAACCTCCTTATCATCCACACCCTTCTCTGACACTTTTGTTTTTCTTCCTTCATTAGTTCTTCGTCTGCAGAAACCAAGGGCTGAAATTTGTTGCTCAACAGAATCGACTCGTTATAACTAAATTCACTACTTTTTACTCTAATATTTCTCTTTCTAACTTCCTGGAAGTCATTGTTAGCTGATGTATCCCTTGCATGTAAAAGATTATGAGATGGCTGGGTTATTAAATTCTGCTTTTTCTTCACTTTTTACTGGTGAAGATTTAGACAGTATTCCACATCTTGAACACTTGATAGATGGACAAGATGACTGCATTAATTGTGAACTGGTTAAGAAAAACTGGGAATTTTTAAATGATAAGGCTCCTGAGCCAGATAATATTTCCCCAAGAGTTCTGAAGAAGAATAGAGAGTGGATATGTAAGCCACTAACTACTATTTTTGTCAGTCCTTGAAAAGTGGGTAAGTACCAGAGGATTGGAAGTTAGCTAAAGTACCTCCTCTTTTCAAGGGAGGTGATAAAAATTGTCCCCGTGATTATAGATCCATTAGTCTT